AACAAGGGTGTACTTTTTGAATTTTAAGCAAGTGACCATATTAACCGGATTACAATATTACTGATACCTCACGTACTATACTACTTAAATGTCTTTGAAAAAATGCAATACGCGAACCGTCCAACACCGCGCCGCCGCACCGCGCCTCCCGCCGCGACGTTCCCTTCTCTATAGAGGTGGACCGTGTTGCTCTATGTTAGACTGTAGCATTCATTTCCATTTTATTTTTAAAACTAAGGGTGATGAATGAAAGTTATGATGAACGATGGAGCTTGCTTATTTATGGCAACCTCTTTATCTTCTGTGCGGGAACCAATTGTTGGCTAGATAAATTCGATTATTAAATGTGGATTATTAAGTGACGAAGCTTGCGAAGTCACTTATTGATTTCACGATGTCTGTCCGTCTGTCCGTCTGTCCCACGATTATCTCGAAAACGGTTTCGAATTTTCAAATTCTGTTTTCAGCAATCGATTACTGATCACCCAGGCATCTGAACCTCCTATTTTGAAACTGATTGCTCAACGGCAACCGTTAGAAACCGCTACAAAGCTGATTGCTTCTCCACTTTGCTATGCTGTTAGCTTGCTAGGTTTATTGTTATTGCAATTAATTTGTTGTTTATTTGCAATATGATCGACTAGTGTATAGTTAGCCCAATTCGTTGCTGGGTTTGTTTGTGGGTCCGTTCGTTGGTTCGTTCGTTAGTTTCTCTAATTCACTGACTAAGTGAATGTTTTTATTTAAATAAGTGTAATGTTATGTCTTCGCGGCAATTCAAAGTACAAATAAATCATCATCACATATCATAACAAAAGTACTAATTCCACGCGAACGAAGTCGCGGGCACAGCTAGTTATTACTATAAAAGGTAAGTAATTTTAATAGTTAGCAAACTGAGTCTAAAAACCAGCTATTACACCAATCCAATGTTCATTTTATAAAATTCTGTGCTTCTTTTTGATAAGACGTAATTATTTTGTTTTGCGTTTTATTAATTTGTCATAAGCAATTTAATACTACAGACATTGCTATACAAATTTATAGTATATCAATGACTACCTTTGCATTTGTTGCTCTTTAAGTAAGTAACTTTTCCACTAAGTTCTGATAAATCATATTGATTTTTTCAAACTACCAGTCACTTACTAATTATCTTATAATTTGCTACTAATTATACTAAATAACTAAATCTTGACACAAGTTTCACAGCGAAAGAAGGCGTTTTGGAATTATTCTATGATTTAATCTCCAAGCCAGAATCCTCTCTTAGACATATGAATAACTCCGGTTCCATTGGAGCAATATGTTTCAATCTCAGTTTAAGAAAGTAAAAGAAATATTAACTATAAATTGTAAAATACGTATCACATCTCAGACGCAGATAAGACTTTAAATCAAGCTAGCATCCTCCCAAAAAGGACCTGTATCTCTTAACTCCTAAAGTATTGAGCTACTATTTTTTTCTTAAGTCACTTATTGTCACCGATTCTTCACTAAATCAAAAAAATCGCTCCCTCACACTAGGATTTTCTCTTGTATCGCGGGGGCAGTTAACAAATAACAATTATTCGTAGGCCATAGATACAAATACCGGGATTCGAACTCGCGGCCCTTAGCCCTGCAACTTATTACTAAGCCACTGCGCCATGAAGCGGTGAAAAAAACCATAATTAAATCGTTGGACAGTATTCCGGCTTGAACGATGATCAGACTTTGCTAACGCCGAGGTTGTTGCTATAATTTGAGAATATCTCCGCTAGAAATAGTGGTTGTTGACAGCTTCTCCGTAATAATTTATGACCGTTCATGCCTTGTTTCTATTTTTGTTTCTATATTCCTTTACTGAGATAAGTGCATTAACTTATATCAGAGTGTGCTGCAAGTGTTATTGCATTTTTATTTTTCTATATGTTTGTATATATTTCGGGCGGTATTGGAATATATTCATGGTTATGATTATTCATTTTTATCAATGTCAAGGAACACTATGTGAAATCTACAGTTTTCAACGTTTTTTACCGAACCGATATGATCACGAAAACAGCATAATTCCGCAAAGCTGCAAAAATGTTACGGATATTTTTTTTTATCGCTGCGTGTGATCATTGTTTCTCGTCAATTCAGCCATATATTATCAATATATGATTGATCCCCTTGCCAGATTTCCCTTCCTCTACAATAAGAACTCCACACATATATTGTATTACTAGCTGTTGCCCGCGACTTCGCCCGCGTGTTATTTGTGGTTTTAATTTTTTACGCGGATCCCTAATTATTTAATAATTTTAAATTAATTTTAATTAAATATCTAAAATAAAAGTAGCCTAAGTTACTCCTTGTGACATCAGCTATCTGACAGTGAAAATCCCGTCAAAATCGGTCCAGCTGTTTCGGAGATTAGCCGGAACAAACAGACAGACATACAGACGAACAGACAGACAGGCAGACAAAAACTTTAAAAATTGTATTTTTGTTATTAGTACCGTATATACTTTCATATATATTTAGTAAAAAGCTCTAATTTTGATATTACAAACAGACACTTCAATTTTATTTATATGTACAGAGTATAGATATTGTGTTGAGATATTTTTCATTCATTCATTCAATCATTCATTACAGTCTATCAAAAGTTCTCTACTGGACATATATGTATTTGCTATAGCTGCCACGTTTGGCGGGCGGGTTGGCTGCAGTTCCTCTTTTTTTGATTTGTTATCAGGAAAACGCTGCTTCTGCTATTTTATTTCATTTTCCTTGGTCGCCTCTTACGACATCAACGGCAAAGCGCAAGTTCGGCCTCCCATGGAATACTGTTCTCATCTCTGGGCCGAGACACCCCAGTGCCAGCTCCTTCCACTTGACCGCATCCAGCGCAGAGTGGCTCGAATTGTCGACGACCGAGTTCATTCTGATCGGCTCGATACACTGGCACTGCGTAGGGATGTTGCATCCCTTTGCATTTTCTATCGAATTTACCACGGGGAGTACTCTGAGTCTGAGGAATTGTTCGAATTAATTCCAGCCGCCAAATTTCACGAACGCACATTGGGTCAAAATTCACGATACCATCCTCACCATCTGGATGCTTGGCGGTCCACGACTGTGCGTTTTACTGGGAGTTTCCTTCCTCGAACAACTTCTCTGTGGAATTGTTTACCATCGGTGATTTTTCCGGACCGATACGAAAAGAGCTTACACCTTTCTAAAAGGCCGGCAACGCAATTGCAATTCCCCTGGTGTGGCGGTTGTTCATGAGCGGCGGTAGTCACTTACCATAAGGTGAGCCGCATGCTCCTTTGCCCCCTCTTCTATAAAAAAAATGATATGAGACAGTGGTTTTCTTATGCCCTCGCAACACGACGGCCAAATGTCGATACCCGTAATTTCAATTGACATAAGGGACAAATCGTCACTTTTGTGACAATGTCTTTTTCGTCAAATCACTTTTTCATTTGCAATTTTGCAATAAATCGAAATCGAATACAACTAAGTTTAACCAATCGCAATTGGCTGCACCTAGTTGTAGCCGCCTAAATATAGATTTTAACATATTTTGGCTTTTATCCGTTTTAATTATAAAGAACTCGTTTTCGCCAAAATGCCTCTTACGCTAAATAAAAGTAGTATATGCTATATCATCATCATCATTACACTTGTGGTGTGTGTGTGTGGTCCACTGCTGAACATAGGCCTCCCCAAGGAATAAACCATAAACGTCGTAATTAATCTTTTTAAAACTTTGTCTACGTGGTAGTTCCTGCAATGTTTTCAATTTTTTTTAAGCGACGTTAGCTGCTCTAAGCAAAAAAAATCGGATTCCGGTAAAAGTTTTATACAGAGAAAAAAAACAGGATGAAAATTGAAAACTAAAACTTCAATTTCTAATCCCAAATATATTCTAGTATGACTTCGCAAAATTTAATTGTGCAAATAAAAAAATAAATACTAAATAATGTTCAAGGTATGCGGATTTTACATGAAGAGCATTTTGTAATATGGGGTAATTGTTTGTAACATATTTTAATTGGGGCTTAAAGTTTGTTTTGAGGTCGCTTCGAAAATATATATCGCTATGGATTAACTGAACATAACGAGGTCCTGTGTGTGGGATGAATTTGTTTTTGAGATATTGAATATTTCAACTACTACTTAACGTTATATTATACTTACCTTATATATTAAATTTTTACATACTTAAATAATAACACGAATTATAGGTACAAAAGTGGAGCACCATAAACGTTTTAATACTATACACGGTTATTTTTCAAAGAGTAGCCAAATTTTAAATTTAAGTTTTAATATATAAATAATGATGTACCTGCATTATTGCTGTTTTTGAAAATACGAGTAAATAAGACTTCTACTTTTATTTGAAATTATCCCAAATTGAATGTGATTAAATTGATATGGGCCGCAACGTTTTTGTCTACTTACGAATGTGTGCGTGCGCAGTAAAATTAGTTAAAATAATGCATTACCACGAATTTTGAATTTAAGAGATAAAAAGGACAGTATATTTGACATTTTTTTTAATTAATTTTTCTTCACCATTTGCTTAAATTACTTAGTCTGAACCTTCCCTGCAAATTTGGCCGGTTATTGCAAAATAATCCTGTATATTATTGTTATTATATCGATTATTACAAAAATTTTCTTCACTATTTGCCTATATTAATTATCCTGAACCTTCCCTGCAAATTCAGTCGGTTATTGCAAAACAACCCTGTATATTATTATAATTATATCGATTATTAGAATAAATGCACTAGTTTACAAAATAACAAAAAAATTATGTCCTCCTAGTGAATTTGATATTATTTCATTTAGTTGCAGTAACTTAACGTAAAAATACGAGTATATGTTTTTTTATGACGTCAAAAGTCATCACCACATTTTACAGGTTAACCACAAGTTGCTTCTGAATTAAATCTAAAATTTGGATGCAGTGTACTATTTATTACTGTTCAGTGAAATAAATATTTGTTTTAGAAATGTCAAAAAAGATGTGTAAAGTACAGTCAGGCCGTTTTTGTTACGTTTGTGTTGAACTTATTATATCTAAGAAAGGATATCCCATAACGGAATTACTCAAAGAAGCATACCTGTATTAAATAAACTACTTTTGCGGATTCTATCGCGTTTAATTAACTTATTTTTATTAATTAAAATGATACGTGAGGCTATTGAAATTAAAAAACATCCTAATTTCAATAGAGAGGTAGGTGGGTACTACCACCTGCTTGGGATCATGTAATTAATAAAATTAAAACTAAGCCCAAGCATACCACTGCAAGACTACAAGTCACAGTAAGTTAATTCTGCGTAGATCGGAAATTAATAATTAAAAAAGCTGAAGGTACTCCGGTTTAACTTTGACACTGGAACGTCAATCACCTCAGTCTACCGTGACTATGGGTGCTGTAAAGCACCCGAAACGTCGGAAATTAATAAAAATAAGTTAATTAAACGCAATAGAATCCGTAAAAGTAGTTTTATTCAATGTATATGTAGTGTTCGCGTAAATATAAGAAATCATTATACTTTTATTATTTTAAAATATCGGTTTCTCACCAGGACAAAACGTGGGCTCCCCATATATTTTGTGAAAGATGTAGAAGAACGCTAAGCTGCTGGGCCGCAGGTGGAAACAGATCTTTGAATTTTAATGTGCCAATAATATGGAGGGAACCGTCCAACCACAAAAATGATTGTTACTTTTGTCTTACAAACACATTTGGTTTTAAGCACAAGAACAAAGATAAAATTATATAATATGCAAATGTTCCTTCGGTTACTAAACCCGTCTACAGTTCAGACAAGCAGCAAGTTCCAGTATCTCCTGATTATTCCAGTGAAACATTGATGACTAACACGGAATTTAAAGAAGTTCAAATTCAAAGTCCAAAAAAAAGTGTTTCATGTTGATGAAGAACTACACATGATAACTCAGTCCGAATTGTATGATTTAGTATTTTAGGTTCACAACTGCAACAATGGAGATTACATGCTCCCAAAACAAGAGGTACATGTACCGTAAACGAAGTGAACGTTTCTCAACATATTTGAAGAAGGAATACAAATTTTGTTACTGTTATAATATAGTTGGACTTTTCAAAGAAATGCAGCAACCTTATAAGTCAGAAGAATGGCGGTTATTTGTTGATTTATCGAAGACAAGTTTAAAAGCAGTTCTTCTACATAATGGTAACGTGAAGCGTTTATTCCGATAGGTCACGCAGTAAATACCAAAGAAACGTATGAAAATATGTCAACACTTATTGAACTTATTGAATACAAAAATCACAATTGGATTGTTTGTGGTGATTTGAAAGTAGTTGGTTTGCTTTTGGGCTTGCAAGGCGTCTATACAAAATATTGTTGTTTTTTATGTTTTTGGGAAACGAGAGCCCAACAAGATCATTATAAAAAAAACCGGCCAAGTGCGAGTCGGACTCGCGCATCGAGGGTTCCGAACAAATCCGTAGAGGTATATAAGTTTAAAATTATTAAAAATATTTTTATTATATGATGTAACTAAAAAATTATGCTTTTAGCAATTTTTCCTTTATCTATGCTATAATACGTTGCTTCAAACCAAATTTTAAGATTCTGAGTTCACGGGAAGTACCCTGTAGGTTTTGATTCCCTTGCGAATGTCAAAAATTTGCGGCATTAACGGCTGTATCTTTTGATTGCGTTGGCTTAGAAGTTTGATTTTTTGATAGCTCCAAGGGACAGTAGACTTGAGTATTTGATATGAATTTCAGCTTGATAACTCGACGCGTTCCTGAGAAAAAGGGTCTTGACAGACAGACAGACAGACGGACAACGAAGTAATTTTATTTTTAATAGGATAGGGTGACAAACGAGCACACAGTCCACCTGATGGTAAGTAGTTACTGTCACCCATAGACATCTACATGTATCCTCAAAAAGACTTAAAATGCAAATGCGTGGTCATCCGTGAGGACTAAGATAGAATGCCTCTGATCCTATAAGGGTTCCGTTTTTTCCTTTTGAGGCACGGAACCCTAAAAATAGACTGGCCAGTTAGAGAAGAATATGTCCCTGGTAAACTAAATATAAATCATGAATGTCTGGTACTTACACAAAAATTGTTTTACCGTCGCTTCATATACAATTAGGTTTGGTAAAAACTTTGTGAAGGCTTTAGACAAAACTAGCGTAGCCTTTAAGCATTTATGCTCAAATTTTCCTAGTTTTACTGATGCGAAACTGAAAGAAGATGCTTTTATCAGACCGCAAATCGAAAAAATGTTGAAAGATGACATTTTTGAAAACAGTCTTTCGGATACTGAAAGGTCTGCTTGGAACTCATTACGACTTGTTATCCAAGGGTTGAATGAAATGAAATGAAAATTACCGACAGTTAGTTGCTGATTTATTACATAATTTTCAACGAATCAGTGTTAACATGTCTCCGAAAATTCATTTCCTTTACCCCCACCTCGATTTCTTCTCTGAAAACCATAGACACGTCAGCGGTGAACACGGAGAGCGTTTTCACCAGGATCTTAAATTTTTTGAGCAAAATTATCAAGGATACTGGGACGAAGCTATGTTAGGTGACTATTGCTGGTCTATAATGAGAGACATAGATACAAATAAATACAAAAAAAGCTAAGGCAACTCATTTTATTTATTTTTTTTATATCTTTGTAAGCATTTATTTATTTTTATTGGTAAATAAAAAAATACTTTGGAAACGTGACGTGTAATTATTTTCGTTTTGTATTTTTAACTCAGTATATCTTAATTGTTAAGGAAAAATATTTTTCATTTCACGGAGAGAAACTATGTAAACTAATGTTATAAATTATTGAAAGCCACGATGATTCGGCTCCGGTTTTCGTCACACATAAAACTTCACAGATAATCGCGAAATATAGCGTTATTGTAAATGTCTTTACACTTTACGATAATTTTGTATAGTTTAATATGTAAATTTCACAACGGCGGGTGCGATGGCGTGAGATAGAAGCCGTGTCTTACGGCGGCTCTTCACGTTGGCCAACACACTGGCCAATGTGTTGGCCAACAACGATGACCATCGTGTAGGGCGGGTGTTTAAGCTATGCTGGTACGTATTGGAACGATGGCCCACAAGTTGGCGCGAGATCCGTCTGGTGTCGGTTTTTTACAAAAGATCAAAGGGATGTGGCAGAGTATTGGCCGCCGCATCCACAGTGATCCACACGTTGGCCGCACGTTCAGTTTGCTACGAGCTCCCAGAGTGAATGCACGCACCTGATTTAAATTTTATATGCATGCAATAGTGTTTACATAACGGCAGTAACAATGACCAATGAAAAAACTTTTCGCTTAAAACCAAGCCGAAAATTGTTTGTAAAACACAAGACTTTTTAAAAAAATATTATTATACGCTAGGATTTTCTCCTGTATCGTGGAGGTAGTTTAGAAACATAAATTGCATAAGAACAAACATCCAGACCCGGAGAAATTATGTGCAGGCTATACAAATACTTGTTCCGTGCGGGATTCGAACCCGCGGCCCCCAGGGCAGCAACTCATTGCTAAGCCACTACGCCACGGAGCAGTCAGGAAATAAAATGTATTTTTTCCATTTCTTTTGATCACCCTTATCTTACACACATTCACGTTGTAGTGATTGATGTATTAAGTTATTTATTGATGTATTAATTGATTTATTAAATATCTTAAAATCTATAATATATAATATATATTAAAATCAAATTAAAAAGTAGGATACTAAAATCATGTTTTTACTGTCTTTATTATTTCCTATTAGTTACTTTATTTCGTTAATAATACTGTAATTTTTAGCTATGGAAGAGCGAAGTCACCTGTTACAGGCATTATTTTGCTTACTAGGTGACCTCGATCACTGATCATATAATGTAACTTTAATGTTTGACGAAATAAATTATTTATTATTATTATTAAGTTCGCCATATGTACTACTTTGTGCATGAAAGTGTAAATAAATAAATATATTCAATAATTATATAATAACACTTTTTAAAAAGGTTTTGTTTAATAAAAAATTTACAACAGCTTCATAGACAGGCTTCGAATATTTTCCAGGCCTTAGTTAATTATACCTATCCCTAGGTGTGTTAATGTTTATATAGTTTACTTATCTGTATAACGTTAGTGTATAATAAAGAAATATTAAAAATTTATATTAAAAATATTAAATTTCAAAAATAGTGAAAATTAAATAAAAAAAATAGTGGTATGCTGTGAATAAATAAACCGCAGCAGCCGTTAGCGCATCAATAATCATTTTAATAAATTCGTCCGCACATTGGCCTGAACCGAAGCAAACTGAACGACCTTCCAACGTGTTGACGCGATCACTATTTCTTGGCCAATAACTCTGCCAACACATTCGCCACTATGTTGGCCAACGTGAAGATAGGGGCCATTATGCGAACCCCGTTAAGGCCGACTACATACATACGGAATCCGGTTTCGAGATTCCGTTTCGGAATTCCGAACGGGTCGGCCACACACATACGGAATCCCGTTTTGCTCGCAAAATTTCGAACGGAAAACGACCGTACGTGTGTGGCGGGTCATAGATTTTATATGGACTTGCTGCGTTCGGGATTCCGAATCGGAATATCGAAACGGAATCCCGAAACGGAATTCCGTATGTATGTGGCGGGCCTAACACAAAAGTGCGCATTCTAAGACCCGCTACATACATACGGAATTCCGTTTCGGGATTCCGTTTCGGAATTCCGAATTGGTCAGCCACACACATACGGAATCCCGTTATGCCCGCAAAATTTCGAATGGAAAACTACCGTACGTGTGTGAGGGGTCATAGATTTTATATGAACTTGCTGCGTTCGAAATCTCGAATCGGAATATCGAAACGGAATCCCGAAACGGAATTCTGTATGTATGAGGCGGGCCTAAAGGCATAAAAGGGCGGTAGATAGGAAACCCGGAAATGGACTATTTGCAGTACTCCTAGTGGATAATAATAAACAAATCACGTAAGCATTAGACGGTAGTGCAAAAGTGGCGCGAACACCCATTTTCAAATAGTGTTTTAAATGAATTCTAGAGTGATAATGAAGCACTGTATAGTGATTTAAAATAGAGATTTAAAAGTTAATCTTTTGCACTACCGCCTAGTGCAAAAGTGGCGCGAACACCCATTTTCAAATAGTGTTTTAAATGAATTCTAGAGTGATAATGAACCACTATATAGTGATTTAAAATAGAGATTTAAAAGTTAATCTTTTGCACTACCGCCTAGTGCAAAAGTGGCGCGAACACCCATTTTCAAATAGTGTTTTAAATGAATTCTAGAGTGATAATGAACCACTATATAGTGATTTAAAATAGAGATTTAAAATTTGGATATACAATTTGATTAACTTTTTAATCCATGATTAAATTTTTTATTAATATAATTTAAATGGCGATGGCTAAAATTAAGTGTTGTATCATTTCCATTGTATTGAAAACGTGAAAAACACAAAAACAAAGTTAACGTAAATATGGCCGCTTTTTAAAAAAGTTTTCTAAAACTCTATTAGACATATAATATTGTGTCTTTTATGTTGTGATATGTAGAAATTTAATTCAAAACTGTTTCTCGCTCTTCTCGCCCGCCTTGTAGAGACGAGAGTTTACTTCAACAAACTCAACGCTCAATCTCAGCGCCTGCATTAAAGTTCGAGCTACATTCAAAATCTCGCAAAAGTTGCCGCAAGCATCTTGCGGTGTAGACGTAAGAAATAGTGTGAATTCACGATCTTATTAAACTTAAAATTTTTATATCTTGATCTTAATTTCTTTTTTGCTAATATCTAAATAAAAGAGAATACTTATTTAATATTTTCGATTTTATAATTTTTGCTTCAAGTTTTAATGATTCATAAATATCGCTCGATTCATTTTCTATAGCCAGTGCCCTGCATGTATATCTATGCAAATTATTCAATATAAGTGTATGTTTGTAATCAATAGAATAAAAAGAAAAGCTTTTTAACTAAATGAATATGAAAGTATACAGTTTACCTATAACAAAAAACCAGTTTTTAAAATTTTTGTCTGTCGATTATGGTTATAGCAGGAATGGGTCGGCTCGACCGAGGTAGAACCACGCTCACAAAATACGTATGGTGAGTGTAGAGAACCGGAGACCCTGTTACTGCAAACGAGGTATTCCATCTTAGTTGTCAGGGGTGACAACGCATCTTTACCATCAGGTGGGCTGTGTCGTTTGTCACCCTAATTCTATATAAAAAAAGAATACAATGCTACTTCTCGGCCAAAGTAGTAAGAAGGGGGTTATCACTTATCAATCCAGACGGAGTCCGATCATCTAATATTTTATTGTGTCTACCTAGTATCTACTGTGCATAATTAAACATTGGAAAGTTCTGGAATTTAATAACTACTATAATCATTGCAACAGGGATTGTTAATTTTTTTATCAAATAATTTTGATAACTTGCATTTTTTAAATAAGTATAAATGAAATTTTAAAATTATCCAACCGTGTTCATGTGGCTCGTTTATTGCTCTGATGATTGCGTATTTGGCGTAGCAAGAACTGGGAACTCTGACAGATGATATCCGGGAACAAGCGACGTCTTTAATTCGTCTCGAAACAGACATGAGGCATGGCACCCTCCTTTGAGATATTTTGTAAAATAAAAAATGTCAGTACTTTCTGCGCAGTTCGAAGCGGTTATATCACATTTGAGTTATTGTGTTTTTTTTTATTTCTATGATATTAATTATGCACTTTCTTTGGGATACTTTATTTAACGTCGAGCACGGATTAAATACTTAATTTACAATCTCAGTTGTTCGAAGCGGATATGATCATGACACATGAGTAAAAAGTATAACATAATAAGGTTGACCAAACGACCACATAGCCTACCTGATGGTAAGTGAATGCTATGACCCATAGACATCTTCATCCATCATCGATTAAGAATCAAAATGTAGATGCGTTGTTATCCCTGAGGACTAAGATGCAATGTCTCGTTAACAGTAAAAGAGGTCACCGGTTCGCAACAAGGACAATACGAAACACAGCAGCATCGTTCTGTTGTTTCACACTGGTTTTCTGTGATATCGTGGTCATAACCCTTTCGAGTTCGAGTCGACCCATTCGTGACTTAGCTAGTGTACAGCTAGTAAAAAAGTGTAAAAAACTTACTTTTATTAGACACATTATTTCCAATGTACAATCTAATTAAGGCCCATAATATCATATTTTGAATATACTAAATACGCTTCCAATGGGGAGACTCTATCTCTTTGCATAGTTTGTATTATACATCAAATGATTTATGTTATTGTAATTAATAAAAGGGGACGTTAATAAGTATATTGTAGTAGGTAGTAGACAGTTATTTCTTTATGTGTGTGGTTTTGGCACGTAATACTAAAAAGTAAACGAAGACAGTTTTAACACTATTAATTTAGTACCGGCCCTAACTTTATAAATAATAAAAAAATATTAGGTATCATTGATGGCAGGTATACACATTCAAAACTAAAATTACAACAATATTTTACCTTAACATATTCAGTAAAAGGCAAAGAGGAAAGTTTATGAAACAAATTTATGAAATGGATCAAACAGCTCGGATGCCCGGATAA